ATAAATTACTTAATTTTTGTTGATAGGATGAATGATTCAGTGTTCACTGTGCTTTGGGATTGAGTATGGATGCCTTGTCTTCATTTTGCCTTTTGTCCCTATGTCACCACCTCTGTTTATATACTGAATGCCAGACGTTGTATCGAAATGACTAAGCCCAAACTCCAGTTTTCCGTGTCTTACTCGTTAAGCCCACGGCCCTTGGATTTATTCAAGATTACTTCAGTGCTTATTATCAATTCTCCTCTGAAGAATTTCCTTAATGCTCTCCCACATGAACCTTATTACACTCTCTACATATTGTGCTCATTGGTCTTCAAAATATGTATCATACATAGGGGCTGGCACCATCTAGCCACCACTTTGTCCTGCCAGGGCTGACATCATCTAGCCAGAACTCCATCCTATCCAAGGCTTTTTTGCTTGGAACTCATTGTAAGAGCCTCAGGCCTTAACTACTCTCCTGCCTATGTTATTCTGTGCGGAACAGCTTCAATGATGCTCTTACAATGGAAGTAAAATTATGAGATCGCTTACCATCACTTAGAGGTTTTCCATTGAATCTAAAATAAAATCCAGATTCAATTACCTTGAAGCAATGCACTCTGATTTGACCCTAGTACTTTTCTTAGCTTGATTGTCTTTCGTCTCTCTTCCTCAAAAATGCCAAGCACCCTCCACCCGATAACATTTCCTATGTTCCCCTGTCCCTAGATGTATAAACGTTTCTCTTGTTCTTCCCTTACTTGACTCAGATCTCTATTTCCTTCTGTAAAATCACTTTCCTGACAACTAAAATGTGATCCCAAAGGACAGTGTCCTTCCCTGTACTAGCAGGCCCTGTGTCTCCAGAGCCAGTGGCTTTGTAATTAAAAATTTATGGAAGGGATGAAGAGAGTGATGTATCAGAGCACATGAAGTTTGATGTTGGAAATTAGTATATCTGTTCTTTAGGAAAGGTATGTGAATTTGCATGTAGAAGGAAACAAGTTCAGGTAGGGAAGATAGCTTTAACTATGAAGCTGGTGTACACTCAGGCTGATTTAAGCTAGAGATCTTGAGTTCCAAGAAATTTAGAATGAACAAATATCTGTGTCCTAACTTAACATTTTAACTATCTAGGAAAAGAAATCAATTTTATTCCATTCTCTGAGTTTCATAACAATTCTTGGGAAAACAACATTGAAATCCAAGTATAGTTGATTCTATTATTATTTGCAAATTTGCCTACTCAGCACAATTTATGAAAGACTACAATCAATATTCTATTCATCATGTTTATAGATCATTACAGACATACACTCAGCACTCCACAAACACATTTACCAGCTGTGATGTGCCTTATGAAGAAAATATGTGTTAGATAAGCCTCACTCATGTGTGAGTCACAGTATTGATGACTGAGTTCAGTGTTAATGAATTGAAAATATATATTAAAGTGCTTTAAACAGAAACACATTTCAAATAAGATTGTGCAATGACTGGTTGATAAAACATTTTGTAACTAGAATCTCACAGAAACCTAACAGTATATTTGCCAAGAAGCAATGAATCAGTACTTGTTAGATTCAAGGTTCCCAGAAACCTTACAGAACATATGTAATTACATTACTGTAAATATAAAAAGATCAAATGTGTAGTTTTCTTAATTGTCTTCATAGCTTTTTCTTAAAGTTAGATATCTGTTTATATAAATTTATTTTTGGTTAAATACTGTTTCCTTAGGACTCGAGCAATGACTCAGCAGTTAAGAGCACTTGCTGCTCTTGCAGAGGATCTGGGTTTGGGTCCCAGTACTGTAGTGATGGCTTACAACCATCTGTACTTCCGGTTCTAGGGGATCTAATTCCTTCTTCTGGGCACAAGATGTGTACGTGTTACATTTAACATACTTGCAGGCAGGCACTCATACATATTAAAAAGCAAATAAATCCAAAAAGTAAATACTTAAATACAATCTTTCCAATATGAAGATTATATCTTTTATATTGAAAATGTGTAATTACAGAAAATAAGCCTGTAGGTTCTCAGTGTGTTTTTGGTTTTGTCTTACAAAGCAGTTTTTATTCATTCAGCTGGGTTTTCACCTTCTTTCAAAAGCTGCTTCTGTTTTTGTATTTTTCCCTCTGTGTTACTATATTTTCCATTAGATAAAGAGCCACTAAGAAAAACTGTCCCTCATTTGGTTGAAATTCATTGTAAAGAACTCACTAGCTGACCATCATTTATACCCTTGTGTGAATGTATCCACGGGGCCACCCTTCCCTGTGGTGCGTGTGTTACAATAGAAATACAGGAAGAAAGCCTGAATAATTTCTTTGATAATGACCTTTACACATCTTTCCATAGGAAGAGACATTATTAGAGGTCCATGATACTCACATCATCTGGGAAATTCTGTGTTCTGAATACCTGTACTCTTAAAATTTGTCAGTTGAGGTCATGACCTCCACAGTGATATTAGGGGATGGGATGATTAGGAAGTGGTTAAGTGATCCTCTTATGAATAGGCATCGTACTCTTTTGAAAGAGGTCTCCAAAGAAGACATAGTGAAGAGGCGTCCACCAGGAAAAGCATCATTGCCAGATAATGAATCCATCCGTGCCTTGACCATGGACTTCTCAGCTTCTGGAAATGGGGGAAATAAACTTCTGTTGTATATAATCCACCAAGTCTGTGGCATATGGTAATTTCTTATAGTACCCCAAATGGCCCAAGACAGGAATTTTTCTTTTCTGCTACTGAATGATTATTTCAAAAACCAACATGCTGAAGTAAGATTGTATATGAATATGGATCATTGGTGAAATTAATTTGGAAAATGTATCCTCTGTTTAACAGCAGTATTAGCAATAAAGACTCTTCTAGTTCCACTTAGTATGTAGCAGTGCAGAAGAGCAAAGGTTTGGGAGCCTGGAAAT